TGCATCTGTGATAAGTAAAGTAAAAAGTAAGTAAGTAAAAGGGATTGCAAAATTTTCTTGTGGCGTATTTATATATAGNAGACAAACACACTGATCCTTCTAAAAACTTTTGCACCAAACAACAATCATTCAATGTGATTTTTAAATCGGGGAGAAAATGGTTCCCAATTTAATGATTCTTGCAATCGCAACATGTGTATAAATGTAGGTGAATAAAATTCCATTACATTATAATAAGTGGTTCCAGAGATAACCGTTATGAGATTTTCCGCTTGTATGGGCGGTGCCACGACCCCTTTTCCTAAATCTACCATATTTCTCCGTAAGTACGATATTGACAACATATGTTGCTGTGTCAAATTTCAGAACGTTAGCATAGGCGGCTCCAGAGATAAACGATATGAAAATTTCAGTTTGTATGGGCGATGCCACACCCCCTTTCCCATTATCTACCACGTTTCGCCATAAGTACGTTATTGATATCATAAATAGCTGCGTCAAATTTCAGGACGTTAGCATAAGTGGTTCCAGCGATACGCGATATTAGAATTTCACTTTGTATGGACGGTGCCACGCCCCTTTTTCCAAAATCTACCTCTTTTCGCCGTAAGTACGGTATTGACAATACATGTTGCTGTGTCAAATTTCGGGACGTTAGCATAAGCGGTTCCATAGATAAGCGATATAAGAATTTCAGTTTTTATGAGCTGTACCACACCCCCTTTTCCGAAATCTACCACTTTTCGCCGTAAGTACGGTATTGACTACATATGTTGCTGTGTCCAATTTAGGGACGTTAGCTTAAGCGGTTCCAGAGATAAGCGATATAAGAATTTCAGTTTTTATGAGCTGTACCACACCCCCTTTTCCGAAATCTACCACTTTTCGCCGTAAGTACGGTATTGACTACATATGTTGCTGTGTCCAATTTAGGGACGTTAGCTTAAGCGGTTCCAGAGATAAGCGATACAAGAATTTCAGTTTGTATGGGAAGTTCCACGCCCTCTTTCCCAGTACCTACAATTTTTCAACCTAAGTAGGGTATTTACAACCTATGCATCTGTGATAAGTAAAGTAAAAAGTAAGTAAGTAAAAGGGATTGCAAAATTTTCTTGTGGCGTATTTATATATAGATTTCTATTTTTCCAGCGACAGATAAGGTTCTTCCTATTCTTTTATGTCAAACTCATAGAAATTCATGATGTCGCTGCCGCGTTCAAAAAAATCATGTCGTCATAGACGAAGCGTTGTCAGAACTTAATAATAATTTCCTTTGCGCGAAAAAATAAAACTCCAAAGTTAATTATTATTCTTTAGTCTTTATTGGTTAGACTCAAAAAATAAAAATCATTGTAAAATACAGTAGGACGTATGGACACAAATACGTTAGTATAGTTAAAATTGTTTTACGACTATTAAAACTTGCTTGCCCTATCTGCTCAGCAGCTAAATGTTGCCTGGCAAGCAAAGCAAATAAATATTTTTTCTTGCCGTGCAAAGAAAGCTTTTGTACTTCGGTGTGAGACTGTCAGTGAGAAAGCTCAAAACTCTTTTGTAAAAGCTCGCACACTGTACTGATGAGTTGGTCGTAGCTGCTTTAGAACCGCTTTTGATAGCACGAATGGAACCTGGTATTGGGGAAAACGGGCCGCCAATCTGATCATCAGACAAAGTACCTCATATCAACATATAAGAACCTTTGCGCATTAGACACACGTCACTGTTGGAAGTTATCCGGATATTCAAAAAATCTCGATAGATCTCCCAGCCCTACTTTTTACCTCTGATGTCGGGTTTAAAAGATTAACTAAGGTCTCAGCTGCTCACATTTCATTTAGAAGACTTTTCGGCCTTAGTTTTCATTTACGAATGCGACAAAAGCTATCAAGAGCAGTTTTACTCTTCCAAGAGAAAATGATCTTATGAATTAAATGCTACCTAATTATTTATGTTATTCGCAATGTTTATACAGCTTCTAGCTTGGAGTGCACACACGAGCGCTGCCCCGCCTTGATATCCAAATCGTGCTTGGCGACTTCAATGCCAGGTAGGGTTGCCAACCGTACTATAATATATAGTATTATACTATTTTTCCGATCGGCATACTATACTACGAGAAAATACTCTATTTCTTCATCTATAGATATACATATGTAAATATATTTTAGTAATTTGCAAGAAAAAATTTGGATTTATACTGAATTAACAATATTGAATGATGTATTGTGGAACGATTTTTCGTCATCCTTTGTCAAATTTGGTTTGGAGACAAACCAGTTTCGGCGTCGTGCCATCTTTAGTGTAATTTTTCGCTCTAAATAGTTCGTGTTTCCTTCCGATTTTTATGTATTCGTGTTACTGTCTGTTTTAACTGTCATTAGGTCATGCATGCCCATCTAAGTGCGTCAGCTTTTGTTTCATTATCCCATAGTACATTTACGACTATTATAATCCAAAATATGCATTTTTTCGTCACGAGTGGCTCGTTCACTACTGTTACGATTCGAGCCCTGTTCTGCCTTTTCAAAATTGGATAAGAAAACAAACAAATTGGTGGTAAACGAGGACACGATGAACCCTCTCCTGTAATAAAACAAACAGTAGGCATGACAGTTATAACATCGAGGAGGTATATATAGAGTTTTTAGTTTATTTGGAAACCAGCATTAAGACCGATAATAATGTCAGCATCGAAATCTAACGCAGGATCACTCTTGCCAAGAAGTTCTACTTTGGACTGAGTAGAAAATTCAGAAGTAAAGTCCTTTCTTGGCGTACGTAAACCACACTCTACGAGTATAAGTCACTCATCAATCCCGTGCTGGTATATGGCGCAGAAACATGGACTATGACAACATCCGATGAGGCGGCTCTTGGAGTATTCGAGAGAAAGATTTTGCAGAAGATTTACGGGCCTCTACGGGTTGGCGACTGTGAGTACCGCAGACGATGGAACGATGAGCTTTACGACGAGATCGACATAGAGCAGCGAATTAGAATACATCGGCTCCGCTGGCTTGGTCATGTTGTTCGTATAGACACCGACGCTCCAGCTCTGAAAGACCAAGTCGAGAAGGATCTGGCTTCACTTGGCGTTTCCAATTGGTGTCAGTTGGCATAGAAGATAAACGCCTGGCGTGCTTTTTTGAACTCGGCCGAAATCGCTTAGCCGGTTACAGCCAAATGTTTGCACCTGAATTCACTCAAATTCATACATATGTGCGTCGTTGCTAAGTTCCTACATGTGTACACAGCCATAGAAAATTAAGCCGTTTACTTTAATTTGAAGTTTGCAATAAAGTTCCATCGAACCCAATCCGCCCAACAGAAATACAAAATCCTGCTGGAAGCTACACAAATCGAACGTTCTCCGATTGACATAAACAACTTTGCCGGGAAAATAAACAAAACCGGCACATGAAAAAGAGAAAATAAAATATGGAAGATGAAAGAACTTTTGCCGCTATACAAAAACCAGTCCCAGTTGTAGTCAGTGATGATAAAGTTGCCACAATTGTGCTTTTTTGGTACAATTTGAAACCAAAAAGTACATTGAAACCACATGGACCTTTTTGGTACATTTTGGAAATGCAGCGCTGTGTGTATTTCTATTGGTTTTATATTTACGCTGGTTAAAAACTTCTACTATTTATACAAATACTTTCTTCCTTCTTTACTCCATGCAAACTTCGACAAAATTTGTACTACACTACAAGGTTGGCAATTCTGAGTACTTATAGAAATGGTTTTGTCTTTTGCTACCTCACACCTTTTCTACCGGATCACGGAAACTTAACAAAATTTAAATATATGCAAGTTATGGGAACGAATTAAATAAATTCAAAACGAACTGAACGACCGGATGCTTGCAAACATTTTTAAAATACCTTTATTGTCTATTCCACATTCCTCCGCAAAAATTGAACGTGACTTTTCTGTTCAGAATCTGATAAAAGCTAAATGTAGAAACAGATTACAATTAAAAACCCTCGATTCCTAATAAAAGCAAAAGATTATATAAAACCTTCTCAAAGTTTTTGTCATGATATAAAAATACATACATGGTCTTTAAAAAAAAATGTAACTTACGATCTCAAAGAAAGTAAAATGCTTGACTAATTTTTATTCTACATTTAATACATATGGGTGTTTCCATCGGAAGGTCCACCACGACAAAAAAAATAAAAATCTTCTATCTAACGTATTTACGGGCCGATTTGTCTGCTTTTTAAAATATATACTGGCTATGTAAGTAGAATCATGTTTGCGTAAAATGGTCTTCATAGGTGGCGCCAAGGTTGAGATATTTCGAAAAACCGTATTTATGGTCCGATTTGGTTCGAATTTAGCGTATGTAGTTGAAACATAATAAGTCATAGATTTCCAACAAATTCACCCTGAATAGGCGCTGAAGTCAAAATATGAAGTATATTCTACATAAAATACATGTTTTATTTGCGTTAAAAATTCATTTAAAAGCAATATTAACAAAAATATAACGATGGAAATTTATGTCACGTGACGCTACGTCACGTGAAGTTTCACACTTGGGGTTGTAAAAGAAAATTGAAACAAGTTGCATTAATTCAAAAAACTCTAAAAACAACTAGAATTGCTCCAAATCATAATAAAATAAGTCTCATGAAAATATCCATCCACAATTCGCAGAGTTTTGCGATTTTGTAAGAAAAGAACAAATCTACTTCCATTTTTTGTCACGTAACGACGCTCTCTTTAAATGCTTATATTTCAGGACCAAGCAGTTCGATTGTTTTCATTTTTCGGTTAAATATAGAGCTAATTATATGCTATACAATGGCCCAAAAAAGTTAAAGAAAACTTGTATCACATTGAAACGTACGACTGTCACGTATGCGACGTATGAAAATACTCATATATGTATATTTTTACAAGATGTTTATTTAAAAGGCGTTAAATAAATGTATATTTCTTTTAAACATTTATTGTTTTTGTGAAAGCGTTTAAATTTTTTTGTTGGTACATTTTTATTAGATTTGATACATTTTTTTCTGACGTTTGGTACAATTTCGAAAACTTCATTTATCATCGCTGGTTCGCACGATTGGTGGTTGCATGCAACATGTTTGAAGCTAATCCGGGTTGAAGCGCGTGTACCAGCGGCTGAGGTATATTAACAGCTGCTTTGTGGAAATTTGAAGAATTCTTCAAACGGATAGTGTGCGAAGCGGTCGGTCTGATGTGCGCGCACGGTGCTAAGTAAAAACTAAGCATAGTAATGCAAAGATAGCATAATAAGATATCAAAAGTAAACAGTGAAGAGATAATAAAAACTCGTGCATACATATCTTGGTGTTTGTGTGCGTGAGTGTTCAAGTGCGTCCGTGAGATTTCTTACTTACACACAAGAAAAAAACTAGAAAAACTCATAATTGGGCTACTGCTGATTGTGTGAGTGTACGCACAAAAACTTGTTGGCTACCGAGGAATCACTTCTTGCCTCAGTTACTCTGGCGGCTGTCTTCTTTGTGAACGTGTGCGTTTTTGTTCCACTTATCTTTTTTGTGTTGTGTATTTGCCGCGCTTGAGAGAATTCCACGGTCTTTGATGTTATTTCATGTGGCCCGACAACAACAAAAAAGGCAACCGGTGCCAGTGCGCCATAAAATCGAGTGTAGATTTGTAGTTGTTGCGGCATTGAATGTGTAGAAAGGAAACAGCATAAAAAGAAACATAAAGGCCAAAGTAGCCGCAAAAACAAGACAAATACAATAGAAGAGTAGAAGATAAGTAAAAAGTGTTTAGCTACGCCGATGTGGAAAAAATGCTAAAATACCAAGGAAAATTGTTTGCCCAGAGTTGAAGAAAAAAGATCTACGAAAATAAGTGAAAAATACTTCATTCGTAGCATATGAAGAAATTCCGTTAGAAAAAATATTAAATTATTTTATGGCGACAGTTTATATGTACTACATAAAGAAAAAATAAGTGACAACAACATCAAGAATCAATACTACCAATAAGTGCATTAAGTGTCACAAAATGTGTCGTCCTTTCCACAGTTCCTCTGTGCTTATCTTCGGCATTATCCTGCAATTAGTTGCGGTCGTGGTCAGTGTGAGCTCTGGAGTTGCATCGCATCAACTTTTGTCCAGCAGCAGTGGCATAGGCAGTAGCAGCAGCGGCAGCGGCAGCACTGTGAGTGTCAACAATGGATTACAGTGCCAACGGATCACAGTGCCAGCGTGTCAGGGCTTGGGCTATAACATGACAGCTATGCCAAATTTGGCCGGTCACACGAATCGGATGGAAGCCGAACTGCGGGTGGGTAAAAAAAAACAATAAATTACGGATGTACTTTCATAATTTAAGTACATGTGTATGAACATAGGACATACATACATGCATACTTATAAGTACGCCACCATGAGTAATCTCTTAAAATTGATGTAAAGAAGCATGACATTCTAGTCAGACTGCCTCATAGGACTTTTTGGAGAAAAAAAGTTGAATTTCTAAGAAACCTTTTCAAACAAATTGAACCCCACAGGATCTTCAGATAGTTGATACATTCTTCTTGTGTGTGTTCTCAGCACAGTCATGCTTGAAAGTATTAAAAACTAAAAAAAAGGCTAAAAACACTGGATCACAAATTTTAAGTTTGTCTTTGTTCTCCAGACGACACTATCCAATTTGTATGCAGAATCGATCGCTGATTCCAAAAAACTAGTTAATTTTTTTCTTTATGGATACGTTTCGAAACATTTGCAATTTACCGTTATTCAGCTTAAAAAAAAGAGTGGGTCCACTTAATCACGTATACCTTACGAACCAATTAAATAATCATAATACGTGATAAGGCTACCCAGCAAACACAGTCTCTAACGTTAGAGAAATTTGGATTTCTACATTAGATAACTAGGGTATTTCTCTAATCGTTGTCGAGTCGATGACGAAGTTAGAGAACTACATTAGAATTCGATTCGAGAACGATTAGAGAAAGAACGAAAATTCAAATAAATGTAAATAAGCAATATTCCAAATGAATGAATCATAATTTTTTTAAAGTTCAAATAATTCATTATTATTTTATTGCAAATACGTTTAATAAAAATTTTACAAACAAAGCGTTTTATTTAATAAAGCAAAATAGCAGTTTGAAATTCAAATTCGAGTCCCATTAGAGATCAATAATAGAATTCGATTAGAAAATTTATATTTTCTCGAGTCGAGAACTATGTCCCATTTTTGTTGAGATTGATATGATTCTCGATAGTTTTTCGAGTCGATCTCAAACGTTTGAGATTATCATTATCTAATCGATAACTAACCTCAATGTTTGCTGGGCTAATAAAAGCAAATAAAATTCTCCATAAACCGTATACCTACATATACATACAGCGTGGAGACGAATAACTGTTACCCCGTTTTTTTTTTGAGAAATAAAAGAGTCCTTTATAGATTAGTATTTTATTGTTAATTTTCCACAGATTTTACTTTAGTTGTATTAATTAGTTATTAAATTTTAATCCCTATTTACATTTGCCAGCAGTTTAAACTTTGAGAGAAAAGTTCATTTGAGTCAGTGGGGTCGTCGGTTCGAAGCCTACTGAAAGAAGTCTGATGAGGAAATGTGGTGATTTCCGAAATAGCTATCACTTCTACCATTTTTTTCACATTATTGTTGCTTTTTCACAATAAATTTTTCATTAAAAACGGCCTCAAGCTCATTAAAAATTGTTGAATATAATTAATACAACTAAAGTAAAATCTGTTGAAAATTAACAATAAAATACTCTTTTCGCAAAATCTATAAAGGACCCTTTTATTTCTCAAAAAAACCTGGGTAACAGTTATTCGTCGCCACGCTGTACATACATCACTTTTCGATAGCCCTGATAGTTTCTGAGAAATTAATTCATCATTCCAGATTTTTTGTTTTTTTGATGAAAAAATGGAAAAAATTCAAATTTTAACAGGGGAAAAATAAAAAAATAAGAGTTTCTGTGTAAATGTTTTGCACTTGTGTTAAAGCCTGTTCCTTTAGAAATAAGTTAAGCTACAACCCAAGAAAATCGATGGATAAATAAGAAAGTAATGATTGGTCAAATGAAAATGCGAAAGGATTTTTTGTATGAAATGTGAGCAGAAAAGAGTGTTACTCATACGCTACGTACACCTGAGTAAACCTGTAGGCAGCCCCAAGGCGAATGGAGGGACCTCCGAACAGCAAATGCTTTTATGAGAAGCTTTATCATGGCAAAAATACACTCGGAGGTTTGCCATTGCCTTATGCCGAGGGACCATGCTGTTAGAAAACTAACTAACTTAACTAATTTAGATTTTGCCCGGACCTGCGATCCAACCTAGATCTTACGGCCACAACGGCCGCCAATGTGATCCATTGTGATCATGTACCAGCTAAATATTGCTCTCTTCGCCTCACATTGACATTTGATCTAATACGTACTTCTTATAATTTCTACACCCGTTATCTTCAAATAAAATTTATATTTTAATGTTGTATTTAACCCATTACCCAGGTCTAATTTAGCTTTCAATTCATTTACACACCGACCGCACCTACTCCTTCCTTCAAACCTCTCTCCTATTAAGATGCAACTATATTGGCTTCGTACATATGTACATATTTCTCTCTCATCCGCGTAATTTTCAGATGTGCCGCTAAGTTTCTGTATCGGTTTGATGAGTTGTGTTGAGATGCGTTCCTTTGCGTTCCATATGCGCCGCAAACGCCTCAAATGGAAAACCATGCCAGCACAACAGGCGCGAGTGTTCGTATACATATTGTGATCAGACACTTTAGATAAGCACGTACAACCGCCGTTGAATGACCGCTCAAATAATGAATGACAGACCGCCCGCTCGCCTGGCGGGCTCGTAAAGAAAATTCCCAGAAGTTGCATACGTGTTTTTTAAGTTTTTGTTTTTTGTTTTAATATCAGCATACATTTAGTACATCTAAGGTTTTTTAAGCCCAGCCGATGCAGAAATGCAACGATGCATATTTGATAAAAAAAGCGCAAAGGTTCCTAAGTTGTTAAAATTTTTGTTTGAAGATATAATAATAAAATGAATATATAACTGATTTAAACCCTATCCAATGCTTCAAAAAATGTCACGAAAATAGTATTTTGCACCTTTTGCTTAAAAATACTAGTGCTTTGTATAAGTTACTGCCAGAATAGATCTCCACACGCAACATAAAGTGTTTGTAAAAAACGAATTCAAGGCGACAGCATCATTGGTATTTGAATTTACAACATTAATTTTGGAGCAAGAAATGTTGCGGCAGAGAACTCAAAAGATAAGATTCGTCAAAATATCTGCGAACCTCCGAGACATTTCAGTAAACAGTTCTCTTGGTATAAAAACAAAATAAGAAATGAAGTGAATAGCAGTAAATGATAGCATATAACTTTTAAACCCAATACATCTGCGGCTCCGCTGGCTTGGCCATGCCGTTCGAACGGACACCGACGCTCCAGCTCTGAAAGTATTCAACTCAGTACCCGCTTGTGGTAGCATAGGAAGAGAAATGGAAAGACCAAACGGAGAAGGACTTGGCTTCACTTGGCATAGAAGAGAAACGCCAGGCGTGCTTTTTCGAACTCCGCAAAAATCGCTAGGCGGTTACAGCGCCAAATAAGAAGAAGAATATACCTGCTGTGGCTCAAAGAAAGAAATGTAGAGAAACTAAAAATTAAGTGGTATCTAAATTATAAATTTTTTGTAATGTTGGCAACCTTGATTTTTGTCTGAAAAATTCCGCAAAGGTAAGACACGAATTTCTTATAGCTGCGCTTGACATGTAACGAAATTTTGTACTATGAAAATATGGAAAGCTTCTTACAAAGCGTTGCATACGGCAATTAAGATATTCGTAAGAATAAAGTGGGATATGAGACACGAATCTTAAAATTGTATTAATTTATGCATTGGATATAGAACGAAGCATGTTGGGCTTATCACAGTTCAAACACTAACAAGCTCTTAGAATATGAAGTTCTAAAAACGGTATATCTATAAAAACATACATATCTACAGAGTACATACATTAAGATGGTTCAAAAATTGTACTCAGTTTTATATAGCGAACACTGACTTGTTTCTGAAAAGATATTTAGACCAAAGTTCCAATTCAGTTTTCACGAAAAACATGCTATAATCGACTAAATGCATATCGTCGCAAATATCATTTTTGCCACAACGGCGATTTAATCGGTTTTGCAACTGGTCCACTGGCGGTTTTGCAAAAACATCGACGATATGTATGTTTATCGTTACGAGGCCGCTATGGTGTAGTTGTAAGAAGTGCGCGCTTCCACTCCGCACGGCCTGGGTTCAAGACCTGGTCAAAGCAAGATCTCAAAAACAATGTAGAAAAAGAGTTTATTCTTAATAGCGGTCGCCCCTCGGCAGGCAATGGCAAACCTCCGAGTGTATTTCCGCCATGAAAAACAGCTTCTCATAAAAATGCAATCGCCGTTCGGAGTCGACGTAAAACTATAGGTCCCACCCTTTTTGTGGCAACATCGAGGCGCACAGCACAAAAATTTTTTTTCAACATGGTTGACAACCGAAAAAGGCTTTTCTTTTTTCGAACATCCGATCAGCCAAACTTCAAACAACTTGCCTTTTGTGATAGCACGAAACGGCTAAAAACGGCAAGTTAAGTAAAATAAATTGAACTCATTACATCTTAATTTATCCATTTCCAATTCCATTTTGTTTGCCGAAAGTCAACGAAATTGTAAAAGCTTACATAAAATCATAAATGGAAATAAATCAGAAAATTTTAGAGGTTATGCAAATAAGTTAGTTTTTTTGCAAACAAATGATAAAAAGTCACTTTTTTAAATTGGGACATAGGTTCTCACTTAGATATAGTTTTGTTTCCCATTTAAAATTTTCCTGTAGTTATTCGAACTTTACAAAAACAATGCACTTGAAATTTACATAATAAACCGGTTGCGCAAACAACGTATCAATAACGTTTTGAAAGTGTAATTTTGGTTTATTGCTGTATAAAGGTGTTTTTTATTTTACAAAAACTAAGTGAAGTTTCTGTTATTTTGGAGTATTCCCTACAGAATGGCAACAAAAAATAATGCAAAACTGCCTTTACGAAATTGGACTTTCGCACAGCCAAATGTATCATTTGATCTAATGGTAAAATCACACCACAAGAGCATACACGGTCAATCAACTTGATGGGCCATTTAATAAATTAAGCATATTAAGGGCCGTAAACTTATCTATTTTAAACGATAGTTAAATCGTTAATAGATAAGTTAACAGAC